ATGACGGGTATGGGCAGGGAGGCATGGTAATAGGTCTATGGGCATCATCATACAATAGACTAGGACTCGCTGTCATCTGGCTTACGGGATTGTAATAATGTGGGCATTGGGGACGGAGTGACTACGGAAATACCTAGATAATTATTTGAACTTGAAGTTTTGGAAGTTGCGAGATACCTGAACTTGATACACATCAAAGGTCGCCAAGTCAGGTCCAGCAAATAATTATATATTGGTCTTGAGTAATCATCACGGCGTCTATGAAGTGGAGAAAGGCGCCCATTATCTCGCTGGCCGTCACTCTCACTCTCTTCTTCTAGCTGGACAGAAAGATGTTGGAAATGGAGACGCACTCATGCAACGTCGGCAATCTTCGTATCAACTGTGCGAGGACACACCGCCATTGACCACCTCCCGTACGCAACGTCTCACAACTAGATCTCCTGGCAGCACACGGCGCACAAGCCGAATCTCTTGCGCTACGTGGACGAGCTTTGTATTTCCTCTTGTTCCTCCAGCCAAGCCAAGTACTTTATTATGTCTCTGGTTACGTAGATATGATGCATGCCTTGGCAACACGGTCACGCTTAGAGGTTACCACTTGCGAGAATGATTATGGCGAAACACAAGCTAGAAGAGGGACGAGGTTGGTGGCCGAAAACAAAGCCCCTGAATTCTGGAAGGGTTAGGGTTATTCAAGAATGCAGTACCTAGGTACCTACCCCTCATTACTAACCAGCATGGCCTGCCCCTCATTGCGAGCTGCTGCGACCCCTCCATCCGTAATTCCAGTTTCCCAGCACCGGGCTCGCCGCCTGCTGTTCTGGAATGTTCGTGTCGCTTGGCGAGGGCGTCACCGTCTGCTTTGTGATCTCCCCACGCAGGCTTGCACGAGGGGCGAACGTCGCGGCACACATTGATAAGTACCTAACAATCTGAGGCGCATTCGATTTCCCGTTGAACAGAGAGAGCAGTAGCAGCAGCAGCAGCATCTGTCGAGTACCTACCTTTCCGATCATCGTCATTCGAAGCGCATCCATCTCGTCGCGAAGACAACCGACTTCGAGTCAAAACTTGCCTCCCTGAGCAACAAAACCACCCCGACACAACCGCCCTACCCACCTCACACCTCACATACCATCACCATGGCCGACAACGTCAAGCAAATCGCCTCGGCGGCTGATTTCTCTTCGCTGCTGGCGTCGACGCAGTACGTGGTAGCCGACTTCTACGCGGACTGGTGCGGGCCGTGCAAGGCGATCGCGCCCAAGTACGTTGAGCTGGCCAAGCAGCACTCGCTCCCGGGCTTCATGGCCTTTGCCAAGGTCAACGTCGACACGGTGCAGGCCGTGGCCCAGGAGTACGGCATCACTGCCATGCCGACTTTCCTCTTTTTCAAGGACGGCAAGAAGGTGGCCGTCAACGGCAACGCCATGATCCAGGGCGCCGACTGGAATACATTGCGCCTCGCGTCGGAGAAGATGGCCAGGCTGGCCAAGGAGAAGGCGATTGCCGCCGGCGGGGCCAAGTGAAAGAATGAAAGGGATGGGAGGGGAAAGGAAGAATATACAAAGCCAGTTGGACGTTTTTGGCGCGCATCCAACGGTAGTCCGTCCTAGTGGTAAAGATCGCCCACGTACAAAAAATATGATGTCATACCCAGCCAGCATCTTGGATCAATAAACGGTGCACATCGTGAACGGCGCAGTTTTTGACGACAGGTAGTATGAGCATGCTCTGTCACTCTACTCCTCGCAACGTCCGCAAAAGCCGCGCAATCTTGTAACCTACGAGATGGACACCGAGGATATTCACAAACACGGCGCAAACCACACGGATCCCCAGCAGACTCCAGCACAGCAGCATGCGGCGGGGAATGACGAGACCCACGCACATCCATCGCAAGTCCACAACCAGGCTGTCCAGCTTGCGAAGTCCGAAGGTAATAACGACCAAGTCATGATGCAAAGAACTAGCAAGCACGACATGGAATCGCAGCAGCCGGGGACAATAACACAAAATACTCCTGCCGACCACCGTCGGGGCGCCCCCGCGGTCAGACTGGATATGGACCTGGACGTCGACATCCAGCTCAAGGCCAAGATACAGGGCGACATCACCTTGGCTGTGCTGTAAGCATCATCACTATCGTTAGACTGGCATAACGAGCGATGGGACTAATCATGGCAATAGGGAGGGAGATCAGAGATAATACTAGTCCAGGTAATTGATGGCGATGGAGGGGAGACTGGTGGCGATAGAGCTTATCGTGAAAGAAAGGCAGATGGCGGTGGTGGTTTGGGTGCCATGGTCCTGAAAGTTTGGGGCTTGTTGGTAGCGGCAGCTCGGGGCTGTTGAGGGCCACGGACGGTAAGGCGGGTTGCTAATTTAGGGGTCATTTAGGGGCAAGGCAAGGGCTGGGAGTCGAGGCGCTCACACTTACACGGGGAGTGTCATGGTCTTTTCCCGATGAAAACTCGTTGTCTAACGGAAAAAATTCCACAATGTCCCGAATACGATGTTATTAATATCCAAGAGGTATGGAATATCGCCGCCGCTGGTGACACTTGCAATATCCATCGGCTGTTGGGTTACCTCCCTCACCTAGGTGATTATTACTCACGGCCCGGAGCCCACAGCCATGATCTGGTGTCTCAGACGCGGTATCACGCGACCCCGCCCGCTGACGTTGGCGCCACACACACCCGTGCTTATACTTCCACGCGGAGCAACTCACGACACTAATAATTCTAGGCTGCTACCTACGTCCACGGGATGGGCCTGTGAGGGCGCTATGGCGCGTGCGTTTTGCCTGTGTGTATGTCTATAAGTCTAGTTTATATGCGACGATGCGGCGGAAACAAAGAAAGAAAGAAAGGCAAACCTACCCCCCCGAGACTTTCCAAATTCTGTTCCCGAGCATCGTGTTCTGCCTTGACCAGACGGACTCTATGGAGTAAGTCAGTGCAGGAGGCGTTTGAACAAACATCCAATCCAGCTAAACAAACAACTTTCCACAACTCAGCAACCACTATCGCGGGCATCAGCAAGAAACAATGCCATCACAACGCAACCGCTCCCCAACCCGTACCTCCAAGGTCTCAGGCGAGATCATAAACCACCTCGGCCGAGCAGCCCTCGCGTATTCCCTCAAACGGCTTACCGAGCAGCAATCCTCGTCCTCCTCGTCCTCCTCACGAGCCAAAACCAAAACCAAAGACAAAGACAAAGACCGCAAACGATCCAGCTCACATCGGCGATCACGCTCTCCCGACTCCTCCAACCACCGCAAGAAGTCTTCTCGCGGCAAAAGCAGAAGCAGCAGCGACAGCAGTGACCGCAGCAGAAGTCGGAGCCGGAGCAGGAGCAGAAGCAGAAACCGCGGATATCACGACAGCAGCAGCACCCGTAGCCTAAAACCACGAAGCCACACCAGCCGCGGCAACAACGACTCCTCGCCACAACAACTAATAAGCCAAGTCGCCGTTGGCATAATCGGCCACGGGATAAGTCGCTACCTCAGCCACCGGCGGGAAGCGAAGCAGAAGACCAATTCATCACCTGGCGGCGATCTCGCAAGGGGACGAACCCTACATGTACCCGGCGCAGCAACAAAGCGGACCGCCAACAACACCAACAACAACGGCGAACTAACTTCCGCGCTCGTAGCGCTGCGGAGGGAACTCGACGAGACACTTGCATCCATCCGTCGACTATCCCGCGGCGGAGGGGGGACAAGGACACATAGGGAGTGTGAGGTGCGTGATCGGCTTGTTGCTGAGGCGGATCGGCTTGAGGAGGCGATTGATAAATTGCAGAGATCGATAAGTAATATTGTGAATCTAGACGAGGGGCTGGGTAGGGGACACGGAGGGGGGAACTTGAAGGGGAGACAGGGACAGGTGGAGGATGCGAGGTCTGCGAGGGCTGCGAGGGGTGGGTATGGGTATCCTGCTAGGTCTGTCGGCGGACCGGGGCGGGACGGTGGGATGGGGCCTGGCAGGTATACTATGGGGGATAGAAGGGGGGTGAAGAGGAGGGCTGTTGGTGGGTGAGGTGAGATGTTGGGACAAGGGGTGGGAGGGCTTGGTTGTTGTTGTTGAGGTTGTTGATTTATATCTGGATGGATGGATGTAGGAATGTGTTCCGTGGATACCTGAGTGAGGGTTAAGACTATGACGGTTCTGTTTCTGTTGTAATACTCTTGTTTTAGTAGTGTTTTCTATGGCTGTTAGAGATGGATGATACCTTGTTGGCGTGTAAGTCTTGAATAGGAGGGGGGTGCGTGTGTTATGGTTACTTTGTTTCTTGAGCTTTACTACATGCCTGCGCATTCGAACTGAGTTGGTTTCAAGCTTGGAAGTTATCAATTGAGGTGGCTACTTGGTAATTGTGTAGTTGCCTTTGTATTAAACAACTAGACATGATGGAACTAGAGGATCTATAATAACCCTTGATTTATTTAGAGTATAATCGCACCCGGATGCCTATGCGGCGGTTCCTAGATATAATATACAAACAAGGTCTTCTGAAATGTTTGATACTAACAGCTGTCGAAACTCCACTTCGCTCCAACATGGAATGGAGCCTCCCAAACTCCCGATCCACCGTTCCGTCCTTATCCTGCACACAACTTGTGGATCAGGGAGACCGACCTTGCTAGTGACTCGGAACCACAATCAAGACCCGCATAAGTGGCTACCACCACAGCCAAACCCTATGCCCCATCCACAAACGTCCCACACCGAAATACCACCTTCCCAGGTTCATGCCACTCTAGAAAACAAGAAATCCCCACGCAGACACCACAACAACAGAAAAAAGGCCTCAAAAGCCCACTTCAACCAGCCCGCATAGCTCAGTGGTAGAGCGCGTCACTAGTATCTGTTCCATCTCCCCCCTCCTCGGGAAAGATGCGATCCGTGCCATGACGAGGTCTTCAGTTCAACTCTGGATGTGGGCAGCCGCTTGTTTCTCAGGCACAGCAAATCTTTCATTCGGCCCGCATAGCTCAGTGGTAGAGCGCGTCACTAGTATGATTCCATCTTTAGGACTTCGATCCTCAAGAACAGTCTCTGCGATATGACGAGGTCTTCAGTTCAACTCTGGATGTGGGCATTTACTTTTGCTTCCTTGATCTTTGAAGACTTGAGGGGGAAGAGCGGTGGTTGGTTGTTTGCTTTTGGGTCTTTCTTTTTGCTTGTTGAATCCCCGCCACTCACTCCTCACTTACTTGATTCTTGAAATTTCTCATCATTTGCCTGGCGATAGACCTAAACAACTGGGTACCTGGTCTTTGGGTGAGTCTATCTATCAACTGCCCAGCTTGTGTTCTCAATTGAAGTCATCCAAAACCAAGGAAGGAAGTTCATATAACAAGTGTGGCGAACATGGTTGATTTAAGGCGACAATCATCACTGGGCAAAGTCATCAAGTGATCGACTGCCAGAGTACCAGTTAATGAAGAAACATACATCATCTCAAACAATGGACTCAAAAGACACTACCTTACTAAACCTATCCCGGCACGTCATGGAAGGTTCCTTCTCGTGCATCCGTCTGCATTCATTCCGAGCCTTGAAAACTTGAAGAGACTTAACTTGCGTGCGTACCAATACCTCATTAATTATCTGACCTAATAGTAGCCAACTATCCATCGACAGTCTGCGTAAATGCTCGTAATCCATAAATCACCAAAGTCTCCAGACCGTGCAAGCAACTCGCTTTTCTCTCCTCCTTTCCCATTGATCCGATGCAGCTGTAGTCCTTTCAAGATCCCCATGATACGCAGTAGACACAACTTGAAGCCCCCTCCTAAACGCCACCGCCCCCGAGATTCCTACTACTGATAACAGAGGCGCAAGTATCCTAGTCGGTCGTGACATCAAGATGGCTTCCAGAAACCAGAAACTCCGAAACGAAAACCCATACACCAAAGGACGAAACTGAATCGAGAGACAACCAAAAGAACCAGAACGTGACCGTAGTAACCATAACCATAACCGAAACTAACCATGACTAAAACCTATGCCGAGATCCACCCTTTCTTCCCCACACACCAACCCACAACTCAAGCAGGAGGCGGCGGCGGCGGAGGAGGAGGAGGCGGCACACTATCCGACGAGCTCTTAGACCCCTTGGAGCTGCTCCCCGACCTCGCGCTATGGCGACGTCTCCTTCTCTTCTTGCTGCGCGGCGTGAAGCGGATGGCGCCGCGGTACCGATGCAGCAGGTATCCTAGACAGACAAGGAAGGCGGTGAGCAGAACGCCGACGACGACGCCGATGGTGACGTTTTGGTTCTGCATTGAGTCGTCGCGGCGGTGGAGGATATTGCCCGTGATGGATGGGGCTCGCCAGGGGGGCATTACGAGGTGTATAAGCCCGGCGACGGGGGAGGTGGAGAGGAGGTCATCATGCTCGGCGCGGGTAGTAGGAGGGGGGAGGGCTGGTCGGAGCGCGAGTGGGATGTACATCAAGCCGACTACCAGTGCACGGTGGCTTGGCTTGGACTCGAGGACATGGGAGGTGGTCGACAGCCGATCAAGCCCGGCCGCGAGGTCTCCTGGCTTGTTGACACAAGGAAGGGTTGTGACGGGTTTTGCAATGAAGAAAGGAGGGAAAAAAAGGGGGAGGTGGGGTTTGTTGTGTATGTGTCTAGCAAGAACGGCGAACAAACTGCCTGGGTGCGCGCTGAAACATATGATATTGTTTCAGGCCATCAGACGGATGGGGAAGAAGCACGAGGAACTTTTGGTGTGAAGAAAAAAAAGCCTTTGGCCAGGGGGGATGCAGTGACAGGCGGGGGTGGGGAAGAGGAACGGAGGAGGACTGGAGGAGGAACGTGAGGGACTTTTAACCGGCACGGACCAGACAAAAACCATATGACAGGCATTGCGCATGTCCATTTAATCCCACAGTCATGGACGTTCGGCAGATAACAGCCCGAAGTGAATGCAGCGAGTCTGTATCACATCACCAACTTGCCCTCCTCTCACCTAGTGGCCATGTCTGTCGCGCCGGCGGGTAAAGGGGCCGAGTTCAAGTTTACTGTGGTAGACCAACCAACCAACCGGCCGGTGAGTTGAAGGCAGGGCTACAGTACTAACCGCGGGTGCCGACGAGACGCTCGACTTTTTTATCAGTCGTCTTTGATTCGGCAGCTACCTGTGGAGGGGGGGAACACACACTGGCACAATCTCGGTCGCCCTGGAATTGGTCCAGTAATGCGTGCGTGGAAGGTTCGAAAGATTGCTGCTACCTCCCTTTTGGCCTTGTTCTTTTTTGTTGGTTGACGACTAGGAGCACAGTTAGGACTGGAGAGACCAATGCAATGCAAACCGCACTGCTGCTGCGCTGCTGCAGCCCCCGCGGCGGCCTGCAATTGTGAGTGGGGGAGCGGTGCGCTGACAAGTGTGGTGAGCTGCAATGGTGAGTGGGTGGTTTTGCAACTGGGACGGACGTTCTGCAGGTGTGGACATGCATGGGTGGGACAAGACTGGACCGGTTATTGTTCAATTCACTTTTTTTTGTCGGGGCGGATTGAGAAGAAAGCCAACCAGATTGATGTGGTTTCTTCAGTGGTGCACTGACGGGAGCTCTCAATCTTTGCGATAGATAACACCATGTGAGCATGGCGAGTGAAGAGCGTTCAAATTGTCACGGGGGCGCTGAACTGGAAATAGGGGCAGTTAAACAATGGGACCGTGACATGGAATGCGCAGTTTGAATGGACATTTTGATGGGGGAAGGAAACTAGAAGGGGGCTACCAACCCTCGACATTACTAGTTCACAGTGTCTGTCCAATGCATGCATGTGACTCACACCAAACAATTCTGATGGTGTTCTTCAGCCCTGGATTGAGTGATTGGCTCTCTTGTCTAGACTCGGATAGACACCGGCCAGACACCCGATGATGCTAGCGCAATACTGGACTAGAGTAACACACACGGCCCGAGGTTCAAGCGCAACATGAGCTTGGTCTGGTACCGGCGACACCTGCTGGTATGCTGATCGGAATCAAATAACTGAAATGAATTGTGGCCTTCCAACTACCAGGTAAACTACCTACATAGTAATCACGACATAGGTAGCATGGATCCTTCGTTCTAATTTGTCAGCTAAATTGGTCTCCGGGATGCGACGCTGCTCGTATTGGCTCGGGCTGGTAATCTGACTTGGCCAAGCGAGGGAGCAAGTATCAAGTCGGTAAGCACCTAGCTAAGTTGACATGTGTACATTTCACCATACCAGGTAGCCATGCCAGCATTCTTCATGCGTCAGTCAAGAAAACGGAACAGAAAACACTCGTTTCAGCCCTATTTGCTCCGTTGAATCAAACTGGGGTAACGACTGGGAAGCAACAACTCCGCCAAGCAATTAATTAATACCAGGACTGACAACTGTGTCAGCAACTTCTCGTTGGGCATAATCACCGCAGATCACCGCCTCATATATCTTCCCCTAACAAACTTCTACATATTGCGAGACACTGCTAGTGAAGTCCTCACAACACATATCCCTACCCACTGCGTTTCAAAAGCCTGCCAGCCTGCGTGCCTGCGTTCCTGTCCACAAGATGGCCACCCCCAATATGATCTCCCGCCCCCCGCCCACATCTATAACATACGACCTCACCACCCCAAACCACACAACCATAACCCTCCCCCGCGGCTCCGCCTGGGCAAGCGGTCTACACTGGCACGAGACGCACACTGAGTACCTGCGCGTGCTGTGCGGAACGATCTGCGTGCGCCTAGGCGACGAGACCCTGGAGATCAGCGCCTCCTCGCCGGAGATCAAGATCGACAAGTACACCTGGCACGAGTGGGCGCGTGCTTCTGTAGGCGGGGACGAGGACGTGGTGGTCGCTGAGCGGACTGAGCCTGCTGATGGGCAGAAGGGAGATTTCTTTCGGGAGTTGAATGGGGTTATTCTCTCTGCTTCTTCTTCTTCTGGTGTTGCTAGGGGGTTGTTGACGCGGGTGGTTGGGGTGTGGATGTGGTGGAGGTTGTTGGTGGTTTTTCACAGGCGGGATAACTTCCCTGTGCTGCTGGGGGTGCGCGGGCTGGCGGGGCGGTGGGGCGTGACGGCGGTTGGGTCGGTGGGGGATTCGTTGCTGTGGTGGATGGAGGTGTGGTGGTCGCGGTTGGTGTTAAGGGTTGCGGCGGCGGTCGCGTGGGTTGTGGACATATGGGTGTAAGTCGAGGGGCACATAGGGGGTTGTTGATTGATTTAGTTTCTGCGCACCAGCTCCCGCTACACAATCAAACAGTTGCCGCGCATCGTCCGCAACTCCTGCAGCCAGTTCATCTTGCTTGGGTCCGCCGTCGCCGCCGCTCTGGCCTTGGCGTCCCACACGTCCTGCAGCATCTGGATGGCCGTGTGGACATAGCCCCAGGGACAGATCCAGGGGTTCTTGTTCCACACCTCACGCAGACGGCTCAGACACCAAGCGCGCCACTCGCTGTCGTCGGTATGGGCGCCGGCGATAAAGGTCGGCCACGATGTGCCTTTGAGCAGCACGTGGTCGTCGGGGATGCGTGACAGGTGGCCCAGCACCTCGAGCACTAGCTCGTCCATGTCGGCTGTCTGCACGTGCTGACCGGGCCCTGGGAGTACTAGGAGCATGTATAGACACGCCGCCGCGCGGAACGCCGATGCTAGGTGCTCGCGCGCCACCGGGTCGTCGTGGCACGAGAGCCCTTGAATATTACTAACCCACGCGCGCACGCCAAAGGCCCTGGCTTGCTGGAGCAGCGATGCCGTTGCGGCGATGCGCCCCTCGTCGTCGAGGCCGGACTCGGGGCTGCACAGCTGGCTGGTGTCGAGGATGGCCTTCAGGATCAGGGGCGGGCAGCAGTGGTAGCTGTAAGCCTCGGCGCGCTGTAGCACCGTAAACACATCAATGCCATGGCGCATGGCGGACCCCGTCAGGAAGCCGACGCCGCTGATGGTGGACCCGAGGATGCGGTACGTGACGCAGTCGGCGGCGATGGCGTCGGCCAGCGGGGCCACCGACGGGTCCAGCTGGTGGCCGTCGACCGTCTGCAGCGACGAGATTAGCGTCTCAGCGGCCTCGATATGCGCCTTCCACCCGCCCTTGCCCGAGTCGATCA